AATACATTAAAAAAAAGAAGGAAAAGAAAAAGGTGATGCGCAAAACACAACCCGAAACAACAGTCACACCGATTGCGAGAGAGCGACGGTAAAGAAAACTGAGAGCACGACAGAGAGAGTGTGAGAGCGAATATCATCATCAGCAGCAGCCAAAAGTTGTTAAAACGAAAACGCACAAAATAATAATAATAATAATAATAAAAAAAAGAAGCAAAAGAAAAAGCAATATAGAGACACACACACACACACAGAGATCTGATACTGGCACACACATGTGTGCGTGCGTATAGAGCGATAGCGATTTACGATAACGATAATTCTGGTGCAATCTTTATATAACAAAAACCCCAACTGCGAAGCAGCAAACAAAACAAAAGCGAAAAACGAGAAACAAGCAAGGCAAACGCAAAAGCAAACGCAAACGCAAGCAAAACGAGAACGGCTGTTAAATGCGGCGATCAAAACGCCAGCGTTATTGTCGCCCGACCAACAACAACAAGAACAAGAACAACAGCAAGAATAGCAATAGCAATCGTAGCAACAGTTATCGATATCAGCAAAAGGACGGGGACTCGAGCATCATCGCTGTTTATTGACTGGAAAACAGACTGGAAAGGAGGCATTGCATTAATCGATCGTAGCACAAGTAACAGCAACAGCAGCAGTAGCGAAAATAATTTGACGACAATTTCGATTGTTGTTCAGGCTTTGCCAAATAATGGAACCAGATCCCAATGGGATAAAGATCGAACCAACACTTGACCATCACCAGCAGCAGCAGCAACAGCAGCAACAATACGCAACACTTTTGGCAATAAATGGCCCAAATGCGCGCCTTCTTATCGAGCATCAGTCAGCGCTGTTGGTACCCCTATCGACACATCAGCAACAACAATTGCAATTGCAGCAGCACCAGCAACAGCAGCAACAGCAACAGCAGCAGCAGCAACAGTTTCAGCAACAGCAGCAACAGCAACAGCATCATCTGCAGCAGCAACAATTTCATCAGCAACAATTGCAAATAACATTACCCGCTTACACACAGCCGCTCTCGCTCAAGCAACAGCCGCCACCTACACCCCTGGGACCCACCTCCTCGGTCAGCAACAGCAATACGCAACAACAGCAACAGCAGCCCCAACAGCCACAACAACAACAACAGCAACAACAACCACACCATCATCATCAACATCAGCAGCGCTGGAACGAGAGTCCAGAGGCGAGACAACGGCGGTTGGCCCGCAATGCTGAGAGGATGCGCGAGAGACGTCAGCGTGAAAGTGAAGACGAATATCGAAAACGTTTGATGCGTAACGCCGAAGCGAATCGCCAACGGCGACAGAATGAATCAGATTTGGAGCGGGCGATGCGGCTGGTGCGCAATGCGGCCCGGCAACGATTGCGACGGGCCATGGAATCGCCGGATCAGCGATCCAAACGTCTGGCCAAGCTGGCCGAAAGGATGCGCATGTATCGGGCCAGCGAGACGGCCGAACAACGCAAGGTACGGCTGGCAGAGATGGCCGCCCGGGCCAGACAGCGCATCGCCAGCGAGTCGGCGGAGGAGCGGAAGGAAAGACTGAGAAAGCTGAACGACTATGCGAAAAAGGTCAGAGAAAAGAAAAAGATATACAAACAGGTGCAGGTGCATGTTCAGAATTCGTCGTCGTCTTCATCGACCAATTCGACCAATTCCAATACACTGACCGTTCAGCAGCAGCAGCAGCAACAGCAGCAGCAGCAACATCAACAGCAGCAGCAGCAGCAGCAGCAGCAGGTGCTAGCAGTGGCAACAGCCGCTGCTGCCGCCGCCGCCGCCGCTGCAAACGTAGCTGGCCAATCAGCCAATTGTAATAATGAGCATAATATTAATTTAAATCAGGCAAACGTCTCATCAGCGCCTGCCAACAATGCCACCACTACAAGCAGCAGCAGCAGCAACACCACAACAGCGGCAGCAGCAACTGTTACCGCCGACGATCAGCATCTGGTGACAGCTGCACCGGCCTCGGCCTATCAGCAGCATCAGGCCATCGAGTATATGGGCCAGAATATGTTTATAGCGCGACCGACGATGCAGCTGAAACAGGAGCCGCAACAGCATCAGCAACAGCAACAGCAGCAGCAACAACAGCAGCAACAGCAACTGCAGCAGCAGCAGCAGCCGCGCTACTCCCTTGGTGCCCAGCAGCTGATCGATGGCGTTGCTGGTGGCAGCGGAGCCGCCGAGGCGGGCAGCATCTTTGTCCAACAGATCTATGGCGAGGAGCCGGGCAAAACCGGTAAATTGCTGCAGGCGCATGTCCCGCACTTTAGCATTGCCAATCAGCTCGAGTTCTATAAGCAGAAATACGCCAATATGGTGGAACTTCAGGTGCGTATGCAGCCGTAGGCAGTGCCAGGGCGGCGGGAATTAAACAACAAGAACAACAACAGCAAGAAAATGAATAAGAACAAAGAACAAGAAGAGCAAACAAACAACTACTGAAGCACAAGAACACAGAGGGAGAGGGAGGCGAAGGGGGAGAGAGGCTGAAGTTCAAGCCAAAGTTTCGAGTCTTTATTATGAATAGAACTTTAGAATTTTTTCATATTTTATATGTTACCTTTTAGTTTTATTTGCACTTAGTAAAACAACAGAGTTCAGAACAGCAAATGTAAAGACAATAGAACTAACTGCAGCTATGAGCTTTTCCAATGTTGTCGTACCTGTGTTTCATTTCATTTTGTTTCACCTAGTAAAACAAAAGAGTTTAGAACAGAGCTCTTTTGAGTTTCCTTAGTGATGTTGTACTAATTATTATCTTAGTATTCGTGTTCCATTGAATTTTGTTTCACTTAGTAAAACGAAAGAGAAGAGAAACAGTGAAACTGAAAAAAAATGGGGAGCTCTTTCACCCTTTAAATTCTTCCTTGTTTTTATTAAATATTTGATTTTTTGTTCTGTTTCGAATTCAATTGAAGATATTTAACTACGATCGGAATACACATTGAGCGTACAGGCGAAAAAGGGTTTAATAGTTTTAATTAATTGGAACAAAAAAAATATTTGCTGTATATATTTCTATTATGACATATTGAAACGGGGTGAATTACTTTTTGTATACGAAAAAGAATGGAAGAAGCAGAAGAAGCAAAACCTAACCTTGATACAATATTTAACTATAATGTATAAATATCAAATTCTTTTGTATATAAACAAAGAAACGAAAAAAAAAAAAAACCAAAAGTCGATTAAAGCTCAAAGTTGTGTATTGTCCACAGAATGTATGCCTCATGTGTCTTCAATTCATTCCGAAAAGGAAAAAAAAAAAACAAAACTAACTAGAAATCATCGTCTTTGCCTCTGTCTGTCTGAATGTTTGTCTAGCAGTCTCCCTCACACTAATATGTTAAATGGATATGTATATATAGAGATAAAAAAACTATATATTTAGATATGGAATAGGTCCTTCTCATAGTCTTAAAAATACACCTTAGAGGTTATGTTTCACATAATCTTAAAAATGGATTCTTATTGTAACTGAGATAGATTAGTTTGGCAGGAGTAAGAAATTCATTTGAACTCATATGCATCTGTGATGATTGTGTGACTTTATACATCTATAATAATGAAAATATATAAAAAATTAAAAATAAGTCTGGCGCAGCCAACTTAACAAGATAGCTGAGAGAGAGGAAGATAGGATATGGAGAAGAAATAGAGAGTTTAACACAGAGAGAAATTGAGAGAGAGGAGAGATATATCACTTCTTCAACATAACCTCACTTGCCGCACAAAACCTGAAAAACCCATAAACATTTCTGTTTGCAGTCTGGCGAGACGAACGATAACAGCGGGTCTGTTACACTGGGTCAGAACGAGGCCAAGGTGATTGTGGCCGCCGCCGAGCAGCAGCAGCAGCAGAAGGTGCTTAAGCCTGGGTCAGCAGCGGCCGCTGCAGCCGCAGCCGCCGCAGCAGCAGCAGCAGCAACAACCTCAACCACAACCGGGACCCAGCTCTACAATCAGCTACCATACCTGGCCACATTTCCAGCGACGGCCAATAGCAGCGGAGCGAGCGGCACTGTGACGGTGGCTGGCGGAGGCGGCGGTGCGGCCGGTGCAGCCAATGGATCGGCGGCAGCCAGTGCCACTGCTTACTATCCTATGTATCCGAATGGCTTCCAGCTGGGCATCGGGCCGAATACGGTGCCGCCGCCGTTTACACCTGTGCATTTCGCCAATGCCAGCGGCGGTAGCAGTCCAACGGCGCCGGGTCAATACAATATACTGACGGCGCCGACCGGTGCGAATCCTACATTAACTGTCACCGGACTGGGCCAGCAGCAGCAGCAGCAGGATCCGCAGCAGCAACAGCAGCAGCAGCAACAACAGCAACAACAGCAGCAGCAACAACAGCAACAGCAGCAACAACAGCAGCAGCAGCAACAGCAACTGTTGCACGAATTCCCAAAAATGGGTCGAGGTCGTCCACGTAAGATCAGCCTGTTGACCAGCGAGGATCACCTGAAGGCGAACACACTGCTGGAGCAGGAGTTGAATCAAATGCTCTCCGCACCGCATTTGGGCTCGGGCATTGGAAGCGGACGACGCGGACGTCCGCCGTTGCATCAAAGCCATCATCATTTGCATCATGCACATTCCACGGCAGATGGCAATGGCGCTGCCACGCCGCGACGCAGCGGCGCCAACAAGTACGAGACGGAGGAGGAGAAGCGCATTCGGCTGGACAAAATGGCGGCGCATCAGCGTGCGGTGCGTGCGAATGAATCGCCCGAGCAGCGAGCGGTGCGCCTGCAGAAGCTGAGCGAACGGGCGCGTCTCAAGCGTGCCCAGATCCGTGCGACCGAGAACAATGAGGAGCGCAAGGAGCGGCTGTCCAAGCAGGCGGAATACGCCCGACTGCGTCGCATGCGCAGCCATACGCCGCGCACCAGCAGCAGCGCCAGCGCCGAGTTCCATGGCAAAACGGAGGATGATACGACGGAGCAGATGTACGACAACGATACGGATGGCGGGGATAGCTTTGTGCTGAAGTCGGACTCGCAGATGGACGATGGCGATGCTGATGACCAGGACAAGCAGCTTCAACAATTGCAGCAGCAGCAGCAGCAACAACAGCAGCAACAGCAGCAACAACAGCAGCAGCAGCAGCAACACGAACTACATCAGATGACGGGCAGCCTCCTGCAGCAGCCACATCACGAGGCGATCGTCATCAATCAGCAACAGCAACAGCAACAGCAGCAGCAGCAGCAGCGTCTGGTCAGCCTCAATCAGCATCAGCAGAGCTACAGCAAGCTGCAGGCGGCAACGGCGACCAGTGCGAGCAGCGCTGCCGGCGGAGCAGGAGGCAACGGAGCGGGCGCACCTGAGAATAATGATATGCTAAAGATACTCGAACCAATAATTGTTATGAAAACCAAATGAGTATCGCGAAAGCGCCAAAATGAGCTGACGAAGTGCTAGATATGTATATATATATATGTGGTGTATTTATCTATGTATGTATGTATGTCAGCTATATGTATTTATATATATAAATCTAGCTATAATTTCGGCTATTGTTGGCGCTGCAGCGTGCAGAAATTGTTGTTGACAACGAACACCCACACACACACACATACACAAATATGTCATCTGGTCAGCCATGCCCCCCTCTAACCAAACCCCTCCTCCACCCCTTACATACACAGCCCACATTTCTTGTAGCTA